AGTCCTGAAATCCTCCTGTGGGCCTTCATGTCCATGTTCTTTCTGGCCTAGGGTTTCTTTATGGGTTTTATCATTTTTTTTAATTTATTTTTTTTCAGTTGTGTTTTTCTTTACAAGAAAAAATGTCTGAAATATTTTGACAACTTTGTCCAAGATGAAAAACTCTTTAATTAATTAGTGGGAGGTAAAGGTTACCTATACCATTATGTAATCAGAAATCTTTTCCTGTAGTCTTTTTGTTTAAACAATGTCATTTATCTCATTGGTTTTCCTCAAAATTAGAATTTTCCTTGTTTTACTTTCCAGTTTTAAGAAAGTGGTTTTTAAAATGAAATTCTTTCTCTCATGATTTTTTCTTTTAAGAGGGCTGAAATACACAGTATATGATACTCATGTGTGTATATAGACAGGGTTTCCCACGATACACTAGAGTTAGTGTGGAATAGTAATCTCCTTATGATGTTGCAAGAACCTTGGATTGAGATACAGGGAAATGATATACATGCATGGTCACACATCTTTAAAATCCTTCATAAAAAGTTAAACTAGGTTTATAGATTTGCTGATGCATTTTATTTAAAAAATGGAGAAACAGTCTATAAAGATAGCATTGGATTAGGTTAGGTCATGGTATTGTGGTTCCCACATTTTGAGGATATTACACATGTTACATAGGCCCCAATCATTTGAGGAGAGCTATACACAAAGCCATAAGCAATTAATTTGGCTCTGTGTTTTCTGAAATGCCTGATGGTCCTATCTCATAGATTATTTAGCTTGAAAACAAACCAACCTGTGAGTCAGCTTTAGAAGTGTCCATCAAACTTCAAAGAGCTGCTTTAGTTCAGTTCTCACGCTGTGATCTGCAACTTCAAGCAACATCGTACTGTTAATAATGATGTGTGAAAATGGGGGCTCTGCATGCTAGCTTGCCCAGGAGCCCTGCCTCTGAGTGCTGTGGTTTCAGAGGCATAAATGACAGGTGGGGTGGGGAAGAACCCAAGCAGAGCTAAAGGACATATGGAAGCTGAAAGAAAGCCAGTGTTTATGTGAAGGTACAAGCTGAAGGGGAGACATTGCTGAAAGTTTGTTCGGAAGGAAGCCTTTTAAGATGAATACAGGTTGACTGAGAGAAGAGTAAGTAGAGATGAAACTTTGACAAGACACACTAGTATAAAAGGTTATGCATTTCAACAGTGTTTTAATAATGGTTCCTTAGTTGTGGTCTGGTCTCAACCCCAGCTTCTCTAGACTCACTTTCTCAAAGCTGAGGCAGGTGCCGTGTGGTGAAGGTCCTCTTGTCCTGTATTGCATCTACAGTAGCTGGACCATGTTACTGTGAAACTTGTCTAATTACCTCCTTCACTGGTTGTTTAAATTCTGTGGGGGCAGAGAGGAAACTCACATGTCATCTTTCTTACTACTGTGTGCTTGGTACCTACAAATCACACTCTGTTACTAAGGAGTTTTCAATTAACAACTGCTAATTAAATGACTGGATGATTGGACAAGTGCTTATGACATAGTCAAAACTTTTCCTTGGTGATCCACGCATGATCAACCTTAGGATTGGAGATTTGCCCCTCAAATGACTCCATCACCACCAATGGAGTGAACTTATTAAATAAGACATATTTCCAATAAGGTTGTACACCTTGAAAATTTCACATTCAAAATCAAATTAATGCTACAAGCTATGTAATATAGTGTATTTAAAAAATAAACTCTACATTGGTGATGGAGAGAGAGCTCTTACTGGGTGACAGTGCATATTAAAATGTAATTAACTGGATGTGGTGGTGTATGCTCATAATCCCAGCTACATGAGAGGCTGAATCGGGGAGATCCCTTGAGCCCAAGAGCTCAAGGTCTCTCTGCCCTCCCTTACCTCTTCTCTATCTCCTTTCTTCTTTTCCTTTCCTCTCTCTCCCCCTCCCATCCTTTTTCCCTCTCCCCCGTGATATCACATGATATGATATATACTAAGTATATATGTAACTAAACTGAAACTTCTCTAGAATCATTTGAATTGAGTATAAATTATGACTGTGTACCTATTAACCTGACCTTCAATCCAGTACTTGAGTAATAGAGACGTCCTTTTAAAAACCATCTTACATTGTTTTATCTTTGTTAGCCTGAAGCAATGTGTTCTTTTTCATGTATATTTTAACTTTTCACATCCAAGTACATTTTTAATTGAAGCACAACTTTTATGGATGAGAAACAGCATGCAATGCTTTTATGGGTCTGAAGGTTCATTCCTGTCAGACTCTGACGTCACAGACGTCTCTCCATGCCTGTGGTTCAGCTTCTATTTCACTTACCTGAAGTCGATGAAGCTACTAATGTTCTTGACTCGTTCCAAAGAGAATAACACAATAACTTGCCTCTTAGTGCCATATAATGGTTCTATTTTATTACTAGCCACACCTACTCTCTTACAGTGCCTAATTTGTAAAAAGTAATTTTTGTCACAAATATGTATGTTAGGAAAACAGTATATGCAGCCTTGCGTCTGCTCTGTTTTCATCTGTTGGGGGGGGGGCTGGAAACATACACACCTGGGCAGGAGTGAGGTGTCAGTCTTTGTAACTACACAAGAAGCATGAAATTTCAAATGTGAACTTAGAATGAAAACAAAACAAAACAAAAAAGCCAACTGAGGGGACTGGGGAAGGGAGGGAAGTTGTCTCTCGGTTCTCAGAACCCCTGCGTGATTTGATTAGTTCATTTCCCTTTCTCCCTCCTGTTTTCACTTCCTGACTCTGAAAAGGTGACAAGAGGCAAGGAGAGGTTCCTGTCTGAGTGGTTGTCTCCTTGTTTCTGTATAAGGTGGTCTGATTGTAGACTTCCTATTTGCTGCTGTTCTGAGGATGGAGATGCTGTCCTGAGAAAATGCTGCCCAAAACCAGAAACCACAGCAGCACGGCAGGGAGAGGGCAGCAAGAACTCTTAGCTGCTGTGGGCTGGGGAGGGTTTTTCACCACCTCACTCCTACCTGTGGAGACCAGTCTCATCTCCCGTTTCAGTGAAGATTCTTCAGGAACTATGTGACTAGTGTAATATGTATCGCAGGAAGTCCTCCCATGGTTATGATCCTAACTGTATTTGAGCTGGATGGAGATGGTAAGCTCTGCCTTCTCCAGGCTCTTCATAAAGCACCAGCCATGCCAGCCTCTTCATGCCCTGGCCCTTCTGAAGCAGGTGCACGCATGTGCCCTGTCTTTCCCTTGCCTGGTTCTTATTCAGCTGCTCCTCACGTTGTATGCTGTCACTGTTTTCGAACTTGTCAGCTACCACATCTTCACTGTAGCACAGAAATACCACTTCCTCTGTCCAGTCACTGCCCCCACCCAGTCAGAATTTGACCTGCTCTTTTGAAGTCTACATTCTACCGCAGCCCTTATTGTGTGTGTATATTCTTTTTTATTGTCAGAAGCTCTTCTCCATCAGGCTCCTGAGACATATAGTTGTTTCAAAGACTTAACTGCTAGGTAATAGGATAGCTTGTGTGTATGTATATTAGTATGTGCACCCATAGACCTAGGTTTTATAAAGCCTTAACAGGATGAAAACGTTGTAACATAAGGTGACTGATGTGGGAAGGAGGTGTTAGCATTAACTGACTAAGAAATAAATTCATGGTTAGTAATATTTCTGCAAGCAGCCTATACTTTCTTCTCATGGTCAGTGATGAGAAAATAATCTGAGGGATTATATGCAGGTAACATGTCACAGTATTTATTGTCATAGTATTTATTACGTGTCATAGTATATATTATCGTTGTAGTTAATTGTAGTTATTGTTTGCATGGCTTAATTTGGCTCATTACTTTTGTATTGAATCTCATTTATTTAATTAATTAGGTTGTTGGGAAATGTTCTTTGCTGAGGTTTTATGGCTTAAGTGCTCAGGTTTCTGTATCCATAGATGTCCTTTGCCTTCTAAGAAGGGCCTAGGGTCCAGCAGTTTTGTTGAAAAAAAATGAAACTTGCAGCTATGTTTTAGTAGCGCCATCTGTGAGACATGACAGGCTCAATTGTTCATAGCAGAAATGGTGGGATGTGGGTGTTGGTGAAGGTTGAAAGGAGAATGGTGCTTTCTTGGTGCTGCCTGGGGCTTGAGCAGGTAAGGGGTGTTGGGGGGGATAAGAGAGGTATTTCAACAGAAACAGCTTCAGGATTGTAGAACCTCATTTACAGGACTGGAACGGCTGGGTAAGACTGATGGAAATACAGCAAGAACAAAGCAAAGTGAAAATAGCAGAGCACACTGGGCACAGCAAACCCCGAGAATCTGGGGCAGCTACCATCAGTGTGGCAGGGAAGGGGGATCTCTCTTTAATAGAATGAGAATGGGCTCTGAGTGACTTTTTCATAAACAGTCTTTATGCCTTTATGAGAGACCAGTTAGCACACCAAGGCCAGGCCAGGAATTTGCAAGCCAAGCCCAGATGCATAGCCAGTCCAGATGCATAGCCAGTCCAGATGCATAGTCAGTCCAGATGCATAGCCAGTCCAGATGCATAGCCAATCCAGATGCATAGTATTTACTCAAGAAGCCTAGTCTAAGTTTCAGTCTGAGGAGGAAGATGATCTCCTGAAACAAACAAAACCTGTGAGCACTGGCCTGCAGGGAGGGATGGCAGAGAGGCACAGTTTGACTTACTCTAGAAGTGTGATGTTCCAGAGCATCAGCGAGTCCATAAGCCTATAGATGTCTGTGTGACAATCAGAAGTTCTCATTTCCTTGAATAAATACATATGTGCTCTACATCTCTTGAAAATGTTTCCTTCCCAGCATGTGTTATGTGTGGCAGGCCTTCTAGGTTGCTTTCTGAGCAGGGATTGAGAGGGGATGGTCACACTGCACTTTCTTCTCCTGCTCTGAGTGTGGAAGCCAGGGATTGGCCTGTCTAATTCTGGCCCACCACAGGGAGCAGTCCCAGGTGTAGAGTATCCCTTTCTCATCCAGCTTTCTCTTCTTGCAGGTGCTCACAGTGTGACCAGCACAGCAGCAGCAGGGTGGATTTCCTCTGTGTTTAAAGAGAGAAAAAGAAAAATGACCGCGTGTCTGTAGAGATGCTTTGCAGTTCAGCCCGGCTGAAGCTGACCGAATGAGACTATGGGCTGTGCCTCTGCCAAGCATGTTGCTACTGTTCAAAATGAAGAGGAGGCTCAGAAGGGGAAGAACTACCAGAACGGAGATGTGTTTGGCGGTGAGTGCTCGCACACGTTCCTGGGCCTGTGGGTTCCAGGCCTTTCACTTTGGTGACAGTGAACAACTGGACTGGTTCTTATCTTCCACTATCAGGTCAAAGTAATGGTCAGATTAGAGCGAAAGCAAAGCAGGCCGCCTTTTCCTCCTGTCAGTTTCTGTTGTGTGTACCCAGGGAGATTTGGGAGCCTCATAGAGGTGTTATACATGAATTCAGACTTAACCTAAAGAACCAAAGAGGTTTAAGTTGGTACATCAAGCAATAATGTGTGTTCTTGTGGGTGACAATTGAAAATACAGGCCAAAACTGGAGTGAGTGGAGGTCTATAAATGAGAAAGTGGGTGTGTTTTAGGGTTAATAGTGTAAATTCATATTCAGAAATACAACAAAGAATAATTATTGTGAACCTAGTACAAAAATCACACAGATTGCAGTTCATGGCTTCTTCTTTAACCCCAAAGAATTACAAAGGAAGAAAAATAAAAAAGGAAATAAAATATTCTTTAAAAACAAAGATGCATGGGCCTTGATGGTACATGTCTTTAATCCCAACTCTTGGGAGGCAAAGGCAGGTGGATCTTTGTGAATTCGAGGCCAGACTGGTCCACAAAGCTACACAGAGAAATCCTGGCTCGAAAGACCAAAAAAAGAAAAAAAGGATGGATGATTCACATAAAAACTCAGATGTCTTCAGTAGCTCTGGCAATGCTGCATCTTCTTTACTTGGGGGATCAGCAAGGTAGGGTGGCGTTTGTCCCTTCAGTAAACCTGTGGCCTCTGTTGAACCAAGTACTTCCCAATTCATACACACCAAGCCCAGGCCACTCTGTGGCATTCATTACCTGCCTGGCCACTTAATGATTTTGAGCTTCTTAACTCAGGTTTGTCCCTTGAAAAGTCAATGTGAATGTGAATGTGAATATTTGTACACAGTTCAAGTTAATACAGTGCATAGGAAAGCATTATTGCTAAATGACTTCAACAGTAACATCTACTAACTGAAAATATAAATTAAAAAGATTTTTATTTATAAAAATACTGTTTCCTTTATTGCCAGATAAGGAATCCCACTGATAAATGTCTCATCCCCCAGTGACTCTCAACCAATGCCGTCACTTGTATGATGTTTAGCTGTGTGTATGTGTATATGTGTGTGTACATGTGTGCAAGTGAGTACATGTGTATAGAGGCCAGAGGACAACTTTGGATTATTTATCCTCAAGCATGGTCTACCTTGTTTTTTTTTTTTTTTTTTTTTTTTTTTTTTGAGATGGGTTCTCATTGGCTGGACAACATCCAGGGATCTAGCCTATCTCCATGTCTCCAGTGCTGAGATTATACTGGCCTTTTTTTATGAGTTCTGAGGAACAGACTCGGGTTTTTGTCACATAAGGCAAGCTCTAAACTGACTGAGCCATCTCTAAGTCCTGGCAGTTTATCCATTGTAATGATTATTCTCGAGCTGGAATTTCTACTGTTATATTAAAATGTATTCCCATGAATGAGAAGTTTTGTTCCTATAACAAATTTGCCTGCGTGATGACTTCCTGGAGGATTTAGAACTGTAGGGAAATAATGGCATTTGGACATCTTAAGAAAGCCAGACAGCAGCTCACTGAAACCACAGAGACTGGGGAAAGAGCTAATTGTAACTAGAGTCATTATTTTGACCCTTAACTGCTAGGAGAAAATGATCCCCCATCAAGGATTTGTTTAAACTAGCCTGTGTGTGATGTTCTGTCATGATCAGTTTTGTAATGGAGCTACCTCCGATGGAGCTGCCACCATATGTCAATACCGGGAGGCATTTGCATTCATTTTCATGTTGAATTTTCACAACAATCCTGTGAAATATGTGCTGTCTCAATTTGCATATGTAGAGGCTGAATCACAAAAAGCTGGCTGCTTCAAAGCTGCCCAGCTATTCAGTGTCAGCATCCACTTCTCTCAGGCCCTGGTTCACCTCTTCATCCCTGCCATTCCCTAGTCTATGGCTTTTACCCATTGCTGCATACTGGTTAAGACCATTTGCTAAGCATCATGGAGATCACAGAGGCAATTGTTGCCCAGGTCTTGTAATATTTGAGAGGAAGTGTGGGGGCAGAATTAGCCAAATGCCAGAAGATACCTGACATGTTAAAACCCGGGAGATGGACTGTCTTGGCTTTAAAGGCAAAATCAGGGTGACTTATTTATAGAAGTGGCATGTGAACTTAGCCAGGAAGAATCTAAACTTGTTGGATAAGAGTTCAGGAGAGAGCTGGATGAGGAAAGGCTGGAAGTAATGTGAGACCTACTCAAGAATGATAAGGAATCCAGTTTGAATGGACAATAAAATATAAGTGTAGAAACCCAAGTCAGGGTTAAATTGTAGGAAAAATGAGTATCAAATCACAGTCTTTAGAAAGAACATCTTAGGCTACAAAGGCAAGATTTAGTGATATTAGTGTAGAGTATTTTTTACCACCTAACCATCTTTTTCCTAACTTATTTACAGCGTGGATATTCAGGAAGACTGTTTCTCTAGTTTACCATGTGTATTTCTCAAATGTTAACATTTGATAGAGGAACCTTGTGCTTGTCATCTGTTGCTGGGTAGACTTTCAGCCTCAGGGGTGTGCAACAGCCAGTGGTTGATTTTGATGTTGAGTTTCTGTGTCAACTTGGATGCTGCTCCACACATCTCTCATCTTCCTGGTCCTACACACCATGAGCCACCGAAGATAAACCATCCTTTCTAAGAGCAAGAGTATGAACCACACATAGTCTGGTTCGTAAAGATAGATACATGTGTACCACATTTCACTAGCCAAGCAGGTGTCAGAAGCACAAAGTCAAAAGGGACAAAGTACCTGATGACCACATTGAATGCATGCAGAGAGCAGCCAGAGTTTGGGTAATGAGACTGTTTCATAGTCTTCTCTGGCTCTATGCATCCATGTAGTCCAAATCTAGGAAGTGCAGTTAAAGAATCTGCTGAGGTGGTTTTTTTGTTTGTTTGTTTTTAATCTCCCTAATACTTTTTATTGGGGTAAATAAGGATCAGGATAAACAAATAGGCCGAATAGATGTTTATTCAGGGAGAAATAACTTACAACCTAGACAGATGAACACCAGGAAATTCAACCCGATCCTCTCCTGTCCGAGTCATCTGCTGAGGTGGTTTTTTTGTTTGTTTTTAATCTCCCTAATACTTTTTATTTACCCCAGTATTTATTACCCTGTTAATTTGCAAGTTTGTGGTATAATGTTAAATAAAGCAAGAATATAAGGGTGGACCAGTCATGAAAGATTTTTTTTAGCCCTACCAGGGTCTGACAGTAGAATTCCCAGAATTCGGTAAGTGCTGGATCCTACATGTTACTGAGTGCTGTAATTTAAATTTTGACAGGATACATCCTGCCTGTATCTTTCTACTTAAGTTAGTTTGCACGGAGAAGCCCCCATCCCAGTATTCTCACAGCACGAGGTTTCTGGTATGTTTTTAGCCATTTGATAGCCTCTGTCACCCATAGTTTCCAGGTTCTGTTATTGTGTAGTAAATAACCTCCAACTTAATTGAGAAACACCATACCAGTGGATTATTTCTCACTGCATGGTGGGTCTCTGCTTTCCTCCTTGAGCTCAATCATGCACCTTCGTTTAGCTAGGATCTTATGTGAGCTCTACTGTCTAAGATGTCTTCAAGCCTCTATTGCAGACCTCTCTTTACATGTAGTTGCTAAACTTCAAATGGTGCCTCTCCTCCATGTGAGGAAGGTAAGGCTGCCAAGTATCTTTTCTCCTACCTTCTTCTCTTCAAATGTGTTCTGTTTTCCAAAGGTAAACTGTTGCATGAGACATTTCTAAGGTCAGCAGAAAGCTGCTCTTTCTTGTCATCCCACTTTTTTTGTTTTGTTTTGCTTTTTTAAAGTAAGTTGTATATTTGATGATAGGTCTAATCTCTCTTATCAGTTGGTTAGCAAGCTGTGGGCAGGAAGTGCATGCTCTTTAGAGGACCAGGTTTCCAGAGAGCCAAGGAGCAGGATACAGAGGGAATGCTCAGAGGTAAAGTTGAACACTGGGCATACGAGCCCCCCTTTGTAACAAAACTGGCTCTTAACTGCTGCTGAGTTTGATTTAAGGAGCAATTGATGTTTATACCAGTCCTTTAAGTAGAGGCACATGGATTATGGTAGTAAAAACTTTTGGATGATATCGTAAGATCGAACAGCTGGTAAGTGATCAGCAATCTGGTGGCTATCCTTCATGTGGACTTAGTTATACTCTCATACTTGGTGGTATATAAAATCACAACATGAAACAAGTGTGTGTGTGTGTGTGTGTGTGTGTGTGTGTGTGTGAGAGAGAGAGAGAGAGAGAGAGAGAGAAAGAGAGAGAGAGGGAGGGAGGAAAGCAAGCAAGTCTGCTCTGTCTGTGGATTCCATGCTCATTTTTAAAATGAAGAAACCAAGGTCTTATTTATCCAGGGTCACACAGCCATTAATTTGCTAATCTGGGACTCTGGAACTCAGTTCCCACACTACTAACAGCCTCGAATGTGGATCATGCTGTTGCCCTTTCTTGCAGGTGTTTCCAAGGAGTAAGGGTGAGGGAGGCTGATAAATATTTAGGAGAGGACTATGGTGAACTTTGTTTTCTAATATCAACACCCTCTACCTCATCCTGTCTTACATGTCCTCACATCTATTATCTGACTTCCCTCCAGCTTTCTGTGGGTAAGTCAGCTTCTCCAGTTGCTAGCCTACATCCCATCTACGTTAGCTTTAAAAGCCTCAGTGTTGCAGTCATTGCTTTGTGCTATTGGGTTCTCTCATCACCTACTGTGTCTGTAATTGCACTTCCTCATGGAAGAGTCTTGATCAATTATTTGTGTAAAAATTTATAATCAGCATATGGAGTGCCATGAAACAACTGGGTAGAATCTTATTATGAATTGCATATAGATTCATGGGAAAGGAACTGGTTCACTTTATGGGGACATCTCAGAGAGTTAGAGA